GATCGATCCAATCGCGGTGCCGTGCAAATTCTTTGGACTAGGCGCTTAAAAAGCACTGCCAGTCGCTCCGATCCCTCATACGCCGTGCATTCATCGCGCCCCGTGGACGTGCCGTGTGTCGTGGCCAGAAAAGCGGAATAAAAACCACAAGTCCTTTTCGTGGGACTGCGAAACGAACTCTGGTGTAAACAGTGATCAAGTGTGTTGTGTACGAAACGAACTGATTGGATTTTAGTGACCCCTGCGGATTTTCCACACATTTTTTTGCCGCAACTCAATCCTTAAAGGTGAGTGTGAGACAATCAGAGAAGAGTTTCAGTTCGATCGAGTCATTGTGAGCCAAAAAATAGTTTTATTGGCCCGACTTTGCATTGCGGAAGTCATCGAAACTATCGTAAAAGTCTCAGTCTCGGCCGAATTTCAACATCAATCGATGGCACTTCACCATCCCCTCCAGGCTGTGTGATTCACCAATAGGAAATAGCATTCCATCGAGCAAATAAATATGTTTATGAAAAGAACTCTATAAAGCCGCTGACGCAAGTCCAAATCGAGAGGCCAGTGACGCCTCACGTAGCCCTCATAATACTAAAATTATGCTAGCCTTAAACAGAGCGAATGGAATTCTATGCCTGATCCAGGAGACTCCGATCGGACCCGATCTCTTTGCTCTTAGCCGCACGCGCTAATTGCGAATGCGGCTTAAGTAGGCGATAATGAGTATGGATGCCACGCATAATGCGGCCATAAGCATATTAAATCGGGCATCTGATAGCTGAATAGATGGATAGATAGGCCCGGAGATTTGTAGACGCGCCCAGACCAGAGTCACGTTCCCAGTTACTGTTCTGGGTGCGAGTCTGGCTCCGGCTGGGTGCTTTTCGTATGCGCCAAACGTCGCCGGCTGCGTGCGCTGCCCGATTCGATCAATGGAGGAGCTCTTCCCGTGGTATCAATCACATTCTGGCATTAGATTTGAGTCAGGTCCCAAAGCTCAGCGCTTTCGCATTATATTTATTACTATTGCTCTGTCCGATCTGTGACGTGGTCAGCCACAGTTCGTCTCGGCGGACGGAGAGCCTAGGCAAGACCCAAGACAAAACCTAAAAACCAAAATCCAATGCGAAGCCACGCCAAAACCCCCAAAAACCCGTTGGCAACATCAACCTTGATCGGTCTTCGGAGAACCCGAAACAAAAGCAGTTCTATACATAAATTTATCGCGGTTATTTAACTATGCTAATATTCCGGTAAGGATGATTGAGCGCTGGACTCATCCACGCCGTGATGGGACCCAAGCCAAAGACCCACCGAAACTAGTTTGATTCTGGCAGCGCGTGGCACCTGCATGACATTAGCCTTTGTCTGTGCCTTCTGCGACTCCTAGACTGGCAAGTGCTCCCCCTTAGCTTATGCTTACAGTGGTTTTACAATGCCAAAGGCCGGCTGTATTAACCGGGCGAATAAAATTTAAAGCACACGACTTGCCATTGAACCTCTACGATTTAATAGCTGAAAATCTATGCACGAAGCCAGAAGCTCCAGCACCCCAGGCCAATAAGAATAGTTTGTTTTCGAGTCGGTGCGAATCATGAGGCCGCTCTGAGGTCAACTGGTTGTCCAACTAGCCATCCATTCATTCTAGTTGTCTGGCTGTCTAGAGAGTTGAAGATCGGTCGTTGGGAGTGGGTTGCCCAGGTGGCGCCACACTGTCCGATGCACAAGTGTTCAAAATGCATGAATTACACCGCATAAAAGTGCATTGCATTATTGCGAATCGATCCCAATGAACCCTCAAGGCGTATGCGTAATATTAATCAATGAACCATGCGACCCTAGGCCTATGTAGGCTCATAAATAATTAACAAAACTAATCAAATGCGGTTTATTCCGACTGCCTCAATCGCAAATTTCTAGGGTCCACCTTGGAATGTGCAGCCATGTTGACCAAAGATCAGTTTAGTGTTGAAGAGCTTTTCCCATTTTCCAATATAATTTAAAGTTCAAGCTATTGTTTAAACAATTTTCCAAGCTGTATTCAAAGATGACGAAACATCTTTGCTAGTTTTCCTTTATCTCATGAAATCTTCAACGAGTCTTCGTCTACAAGTTCCTGATAAATAAAAGAACTTTTCGCAGCTTCTTGGGTTCTTGAATAACCTTTTCTGGTTTCCAATGTTCACAAAAAATTGATTTGATAGACCCCCAAATGTTTGTAAAGAATGGATATGCAAATATATCATTCGCCGTGTACAACATAAAAACAAAATTATTGATTGTTTTCTGCGGGGATTTTGTTGCTTTGGCTTCGGATTCCGTTTTATTCGGAATTCTCTTTTCGCGCTTCCGGCTTGCTATCTTTGTATCAGTTTCGAGTATCATTGAGGCTGGCCAACTGCCGAAGGTCGCTCGAGCAGCTGTTTACCTACCGCTCGCACTCACCTCAATTGTGGTCCATAATTAGTCGTGCAGCTGGGGATGCCTTCCAAATGGAGAGCCGTTGCGAAGCATGCCCTGCATGCGAATGAGCACCCACTGATTGATGGCTTCTGCGAGTTGTTGAGAAGACAAAGGCGTCTCGTGTGACAGGTCGTAAATCAGGACGGAAGCTGCGGAATATCAATAGTAGTCACCAGTCTATATGCACTCCTTCCGCTTTCGCTTACAGATGACGCCCAACATAATAGGCAGCACTTTCATATTGGCCGAAACGGCCATTGCCGATGGCAACAACAACAAGATGGCCGCCACACCCGCCGCTACTGCTAACACCGTGGCCGCGCCTGCCCCGAAGGTTTCGAAGAAGCTGGAGAAGTCGGCGGAAAAGCCCTACGAGATGGAGATCGTGTGGCGCAACGTGGGACTCTTCGTCGTGCTCCACTCGATGGCCCTGTACGGCCTGTACCTTATCTTCGCGGAGAGTGCCTACCTTGAGCTCTTGCCAGGTGAGTTGGGTATCACTGGGTCTTGTATATCCCTTGCTAATTCTGGAATTCCTCCGCCTGTCCAGTCTACTTTAGCATGTTCATCGGCGGTCTGGGCATCACGGCCGGAGTCCATCGTCTGTGGTCGCACAAGGCCTACAAGGCCAAGCTGCCGCTGCGCATCTTCCTCATGCTGTGCCAGTCGCTGGCCTTCCAGAACAGCATCTGGGAGTGGACCCGTGACCATCGCGTGCACCACAAGTTCACGGACACACACGCCGATCCCCACAACTCCCGCCGCGGCTTTTTCTTCGCCCACATGGGATGGCTGATGTGCAAGAAGCACCCCGATGTGACCAGCAAGGGCAAGCAGATCTCTATGGAGGACATTGAGCAGGATCCCGTCGTGATGTTCCAGAAGAAGTGAGTACATAGCTAGGGATTTTATTATTCCCGTTTACTTACATTTTTTCTACCTAACAGAATGTACTTCGTGGTGATGCCCATCTGCTGCTTCGTTCTGCCCATGATCTTCCCTTACTACGTGATGGGCAGCTCGCTGCGCGTCTGCTTCTTCACCTGCTCCATGCTGCGCTTCTGCCTGTCGCTGCACTTCACCTGGCTGGTGAACAGCGCCGCCCACTTCTACGGCATGAAGCCCTACGATGTGAATGTGAGCGCAATGAACAACAAGCTGGTCTCCACGCTGACCATTGGCGAGGGATGGCACAACTACCACCACGTCTTCCCCTGGGACTACAAGGCAGCCGAGCTGGGCACCTACAGCTTCAACTGGACGACGGCCTTTATTGATGTTATGGCCAAGATTGGTAAGAGTCACAGACTCCCCGGAATTTAGAATATATTTCCTAACCGTATACCCACTCTATTTACAGGACAAGCCTATGACCTGAAGTCCGTGTCCCAGGAGATGGTCTACAAGCGAGTGCTCCGTACTGGCGATGGATCCCACATCGCCGCCCTGCTGGATGCCAATAACAACAATGCCATTCCCACCAGCGAGTTGGTGGCCCATCTGGACCACGAGCTGGAGGAGCATGCCATCTGGGGCTGGGACGACAAGGACATCAGCGAGGAGGACCGCAAGGGGGCCAATGTGGTGAACAAGGAGTCCGAGTGCAAGCAGGACTAGGAAGTGGGTCTGCTGGAGCGGTGGTTATCCCAAACGAACAGCCTTCTTGCTGCCACATCGGGTCTGCAGTATTTAATTATATTAATTGCCTATTCTCCGTACTGCTTACGCATAAGTGGTGACTGTTCGCAACCTAGGAAGATCTACGTAACACCGACAGAGGAAACACTGGGGAGTCCGATATGGCGACCCGATGACGGCAAGAAGCATCTTATATATCAATGGCTTCAATTCCAAATACAACAACCAACTGAAAAAAACTATTCGAGATTAGTCAAAGCAAATTGTTCGCAGCAACAGAGCCCTATAAAGACCCCTCAAAGTCCCCCCTCTGGCACTCGTCGTTCAGGGATGATGAACACGGCTGCCTACCACAACCCCCCCCTCCCTATCTCTGTCCCTATCTATTGATATTTGTATATTTACGCAAGAGGTTCTAGAATTAAGCGTACCTGCTAAGCCCTACTTTAAGCATCGACTTTTATGTGTGTGTACATTGTGTTAGTAATTTAGGTCAAAAACGAAATATTTAGGTTCAAGCCAACTATTGTTGAAAATTAAAAAAAAAACTATAAAAAACTAATGAGCTGTGGTATTATATTTGGGAGGTACTTTGGTTTAAAGTGGTTATTTTACTCTTAAAGTTTCATTAAAGAGAAAATTAGACTATTGAAAATGTTTACTTAAAAAAAAATCATCCACTTGAACAATTTCAAACAATTTACTAAAATATGAATTCAAAACTCAAGAAAATCTCTTGTTTGTAAAAAAATAAAAGTTTAGAATAGTAATTTGTTACCTTTTCTAAATTCCGAATCTGATATCCCCAATAAGGAAGCTCAGGAGCTTGGAAGAAATGAAGCCATAACACAGGAGACAGCCTTTATTGGAATAGCGGGTCTAGAGACTAGGGACTAGGGACACTAACTGTAGCTGATGTGCTGCTCCTCGTGGGTATTGAACTGCGTCCGGGCTGCGTACATTAAGGCCGCCATGAAGGCTCCATTGTTCAAAACCAGCGACAGGATGGTGGCCATCTTAAGCGCAGGCAGTATAAAAGGCAGCAGGCTACCCAGCAAGACTACAGGGAAGATTAGCATTGGCACCGCCACCTGCATCATGGTCACCTTGTACGAGTTCTTTTTCTTGCGCTTTCCTAAAATACCCCCGCCACCGGCATCGCCACCGGCCACACCGCCTCCACCACCCAAACCCTGTTGCTTGGAATCGCCCTCCGGCTCTGGCTCATAGTTTTCCACGCTGCCACTGTTGACGCCACCGCCGCTGATGGACGGAAGGTTGATCAGGTTGAGGTCCATCTCCTCAGTCTCACGTCTCCGGGCTCGTCCCATACGAGATTTGGAAGCTGAAAGGATAGCGAGCAGCATTTTAGTTAAAACGAGAAAGGAAGCTGAGGAACTTAGGGCTATAATTATTTGCTTTAATTCGAAATACAAGTTTTTACAATTTTTTAACTGATCTAAAAAAACATTTAAATTAAAAAAATTAAAATTTAATTCGTAAAACTTTACTATTTCAGAATTTATTATGTAGTTATTATACAAATAAAGAATAAAATGTGATCAGTTCATCCTAATATCAAATCATATTTTTTTTTATAATAAACCACCTACTCACAATAATTAAATCCAAATTCGAGTTATACAATTTAGTTGCGGATATTGTTTTCAAGGAGTTCCATGAAGTTAAATACAAATTTTAGTTAGTTGGCTTGACCTTCAAGAAGATCTTTCTAGTTAAACGTGAAATTTATTCTATTTCCGAAACAACATTCCAAATAAAAGTGAGTATCCTATACACCAGGCAAGATTAAGTATTTAATTGTTTACTATTTATGTCAAAGAAAAGCGAATGAAAGAGGATTTCAATATGAAGTTGTGAAGCCAAAATGGTTTACTGGTTAAATGCTGTTTTGACAGCATTAAAAGAGCAAATTTTGAAGTGGCTAAATGTATTTAATATTAGTTCTATTAAAATCCCTTGCATAGACATCCCCCCATCATTTTGGCGCATGCGTCGAATATTTTAACACGATCAAAGCTCAAAACCGAACTGGCAGAACTTGTTATGTTAGAATAGAAACACAATGTGTGAAAGTAAATTAAAAGCTATTCATAGAGAAGAAATGAATGAATTTAAATTTATAGCAAAAGGTCAGATATGGATGAAAATAAATTATAGCTCAGCTATGGAATGCAAATGCTTATAATATGAGCAAAACCTTCCTTGGCACTCACCCTTCTTGAGCGAGAACTTGAGCTTGTTGTCCTTGCTGGGCACGATCTTCACCAGCATTCCGTTGAGGAAGTGCAGCTTAAGATCGCGGTGCTTGAAGAACCGCTGAAAGTTGACCACCAGCCGCTGGTTGAGCTCTTTCTCAGACATGCTCAGGTACTTTTTGGCCACCAGGCTGCCCATTTGGGTCTCCTCGCCGAAGAACTGATCCAGAAAATCGCGGGTCAGGTTGCCAGTGCTGGGCATCTTGGTCCGCTCCTCCATCTTCCGAAGCACATACAGCTTGGTGCAGTGCAGCATGCTGAACTCGCGCAGGCACTCGTAGATCCGCATTGGGATCGACGCCCTAAAGTATGACACACTATTCGTCGCCGCCTGACTGCGGCCCATGAACGGGTTCAAGTCTTCACTATGGGTAGCGGCATCTTGGCCAAGTGAAAGATGGAGGCTGAGCAAGAGACAGAGGCAGAGTCCAAGTAGGACATGCCAGGATAAGGTCAAGGATCTTGAGGAGCCAGCGGTCATTTTCGAAGTACGACTAATTTTCCTGCAAACACAACACAACTGCACCGCAGCAGTGACAGTGGAAAACTGAATGCACCGCTTGGCCAAGAGCCGCCGTCATCCCAGCCTGTGGACTGTCTGACCACTACTTTCCTCCGGCCAAGCAACTGGTTTGCTGCTCCGCTAGATCGCCAACGCTCGGCTCTTGGATTTAGTTCAGCGGGTCACCCGGCAGCAGAGTCTCTTACCCGCACCTGCCCCAGTTGCCTGACTTATGGCCGATACATTCGATTGTTTACAGCCGAAATTCTGGCTCTAATCTCTCCCAGAATCAGTTCTCTCTTCGATCTGTGCGGATCTGGCGCACCTGGCTCATGTTCCAGTCTGCGTGGAGCAATTGGGTCAGCTGCAGTGCGTCTGCAAGTAAAAGTAACTCGATGCAGCAGTTATTGGCTGAACATTAGAAATTTTACACCTCATATCGGAGGGGAGAACAGATCGCTGAGCACGAGGCACGCTGAAATGAGGTGTCTATAAAAGTTGTTTTAGTGTTTTATATATTCGTTGAGTTATATAGAACATTTATAATGGTCATAAAAAATAATTAACTAAAATGTAAGACTTAATTTACATTTCGATTTGGAATTTCAGCATAAATGGAAAACCCTGGGGTTATCATTGTGTCATTTAAAGTTTGAATGGGTTTATCTCTCAAGCTTTCTTTATGTTCTTTTTACTTGGATTATATTATTTTGTTATATATTTCTTTATTCAAAAGGTAAATAGTTAAGTTAAGTTTTCAGAGGAATTTTGTTGTCTAATTAATTTTAAAATGTAGCCAATTGTTTTTATATTTATAAAATATTACATCAATGCAATTCCGGATTCATAATCATTATAATTTAAACTTATTACAATGTTTTCTTTCTTTTATGACTTGCAACCATTTATTCTGGCTCATAAATATGCTGCAAGTGTATTCATTAGACGCATTTCTTTGTTGACAGACGACAAAATTGCGAAAATTGCCACAAAGTGGAACAATTGAAGCCGGATTCAAGATGATCGATCGGCTGGATGGCTAGAAAAGTGATTCGCTTTGAATTAAGTGCTGGTGGATCAAGTGAGAGTTAATTAATTAGTCTATAACCATAATGAGGCATGAGTGGCCGGCTATCATATCGTCAAGGAGAAATCCGTGCCCGGCTAATTATCGGTGTTGGTGTATGTAGTAGTGTTTCTCCTAACTGTGACCCATTTTGATTATTTTGGATCGGGGAGGAGTATCAATTGACTTTCTATACGCGCCACCGCCGCCGACGCTGCGGAAGAGCAGTTAAAAGAACCGTAAATCACGGACACCCTCCACAGAATTCGAAATGAGGTAGAAATTTCACTTTCCATAGCAGCGGATAAATTTACGAAATCAATCGAAAATCCATAACCATGGGTAGAAAATTTCGATTGCTGATTTATTATTTGTTTGTTTTGGAATTTTTTTTTTTTATATCAATAAATATCTTTCTTAAGCCTCAAACCCTTTTATAATCCATGAATTCTTTCAAAAAGTTTTTTTTAATATTTAGAATAATTAAATTTCACATTAGATATTCGTTTGCCAAACATTTTTATATTATCTCATTTAATCTCAATTTCAGACAGCAGACTAATTTGTTTCACACATAAAATTCTCTGCTGAATTTTCTTTTCTGCCATAATTTACTTGCAATAAATAAATAAGTTAAATAAATAATTTAAACTAAACTTAAATTATTATTTGGTTGCATGCTCGCTGAGGCTGAGGTAAATGTGACTCCTGGCCCGCTATCAGCTAGCTTTCTCTATTGTTTCGTTTCCTCGTCCAGCCAGGGGATTGGTATCTCTGCCAGAATCTACCACTCCTTCTCCAGCCACACGGGCTGCTGGGTGTGAGAGTGGGAGTAGACCACGGGCACTGGAGCCGGAACGGGTGCGGCGGCATAGGCGGCAGCTGCTTGGACGGGCAGAGCGCGGGACAGCATCTGACCGATGGCCAGCACCAGCAGAATGACGCCCACGCCCAGACCCTTAATGGACACCACAGTCAAGGCCGCCAGCAGGGTGGTGATCACGCCCACCACAAAGGCGCCGGGCACCAGGGCAAAGCTGATGCGACGCAGGAAGTGGTGGCCAAAGGTGCGGCTCTCTGGAAGGGAAAATATAATTAAGAATTAACGAAATTAAGTATTTTTAGGTGAAATATTTTATATATTAAGAAATTCCTTGTATGATTTGTTTATAAATAAGGCATTGTAGTTTGTCACTCAAACTTCTATCAATTATTCAATTCTTCTTGTTGCTTTCTTTATAGGTCATTAGTTGGCTCACTATATATTTTGATATCTTTAAAGTTTCCTTCACTAACCAGCCACATCCGACTCCGCAGCCGAACTGTTGGCAGCCTGCTGCTGACTCAACGCCAAATCACAGGCCAAGAACAGGCACACGAGAGCAAACACAATCTTCTGGTTGGCGGCCATTGCGATTCGATGATAGTTTAGTCCTTCGGGTTGAGTTTGAGTATCCGGTAATCCGCTTGACACTGCACTGCTCCGACACTGGTGAACAATTGAATGGAGGGCTCACATTGACATTGGCTTTTATCAACGAGGGTCTGGGCCGGCCCACGGGTCGGCTACTTGAAATTCGGCAGCCGGACATCGCGTAGCCACAGTGTCGCACGAACGTGCGCCAAAACAAGCAAATCGTGCCGCATCCATACAGTCTGCTGCCCCCGCCGGGTTGTCAGACACCCAAAATGACTAGGAGGTACACTGAAAAAAATATCCGCGAAAATAAAATGTGTCTAAAATTCTATTTACGACATATTAATACCGCAGCCACCTCATCGCATGGGGTTTTTGATCCGCTCAATTTACGTAGACTTACACAATATAAAAATACTTTGTTCGCTTTTAGCAATTCCAATGTTTCAAGGCCATAAAAACATCCTCAATTTGCAATTACAATTTCAATTCCAATGAAAACATCTAATTATTCCGTCAGATTAGAATATTCTTTACAGTGCAGTGCTTTGAATATGCATACAAAAAGTCGGTATTTTCACTGACGACAAGCGACCTTTTTCGGGCCCATCGCATTTGGCGGTGTAATGCATTGGAACTTGGATGTGGACATGGACATGGGCATTCTTTCACGACGCGTGTCTATATTGAGGGCAGCACCCAAGTAGTCGTCGCCGACTCAGACTTTGATTCGCTTTCATTTTTCGTCGCTGGCCGATTATGATTTATCAGCTAATTAACAATGAGGTACTGCATTTTAATTTATAATCAATACTAAGTCAGGCTACAGCTGAATAACGGATTTTCATTGACGAATACATTAGGCTGTCGCTTGCAATTCACTTTCATTCAGGGAAAATAAATGTCTATAGCAAGATAGTCAGTCACTTGTCAGTTATATTTTACTTTAAATTTAAAATTCATTTTTAATAGTTAAATAAAGTTTGTTTGTAGGTCTGATCTAGTATATATTTTTCTCTTAAATGATCAACAAGCCTTTTTATTATTGATAATTTTTTACTCAACCCAAGGCTTAAAATAAACTAAGTTTAAAACAAGAAAGGAAGCTAACTTCGGCACGCCGAAGTTTGTATACCCTTGCAGATTGGTTTCGATGTTTATATTATAGATTTAAATGCTGAAAACACTCACAAAACAGAGTTTCATTACATTTAACCCATACTTATTATGTTTACAGTTTGACAGTTACAGTTTTACATTCCCAGTTTTACATTTTCTCTACATCTACCGATCGGTTTATATGGCAGCTATATGATATAGTTGTCCGATTTTTATGAAATTTATACCATAATTCTAGAATAATAAAAAAAGATTATATCTCAGAGTAGATAAACATACGTTGAAAAACAACGAAACTATAATTTTTTTCCTATTTATTTCTCGACCGTTCCTATGGCAGCTATATCATATAGTCGTCCGATTTTGATAAAATTTTTACCAAAATTCTGAAATAATATAGAATGGCCATATCTAAAAAATGGTGCAAAAATGTTGAAAAACAGCAAAGTTATAAATTTTTTTCTACAAATATATCGAACATTTGTATGGCAGCTATATGATATAGTCGTCCGATCCGGCCCGTTCCGACATATATAGCAGTGAGAGCATATAGAAGACTATATGCAAAGTTTCATTCAGATAGCTTTAAAACTGAGGGACTAGTTTGCGTAGAAACGGACAGACGGACGGACAGACGGACACACGGACAGACGGACATGGCTAGATCGACTCGGCTGTTGATACTGATCAAGAATATATATACTTTATAGGGTCGGAAAGGTCTCCTTCACTGCGTTGCAAACTTCTGACTGAAATTATAATACCCTGCAAGGGTATAATGAGAGATTACATTTTACTCCTACAAATTTTGATTGTGACTAAGCAATTGCGTTAGTCCCTGCACTTTGTATTACCTAAACTAGAAGGGATTAGCCTAGTTTTGTTATTGCCCAGAGATAAGATTAGCTGCTGGCCATTTATATGTGTAAAATTTATTATCGAACATTGATACTACGTGTATTGGGGAAATAAAAAACACGGCCACCACTCGCAGGCTTTCAAGTTATGGTGGAAATAAAGCCATAACTATAGCCATAGCTACCGCAATCGATTTTGTTTTATTTTCTGCGAACTGGAGGAGTATTTGACGGCTAATTGTGTGAAAGTAATTAAGGAGACCAAATACGTAAAGCGGATTTTTCGACGATCGGCGTTCGACTAGAATTTACTTTCTACTCTGGATTTTCAGACCGATCCGAACTCAATTTTGTCAACAACTTTCCCATGCTAATTGGAGGCGTCGCTGCGGGGCAAAGAACGGGGCACGGACCGAAGCCTTCGGTGGCCAAACCGTTAGCAGGCTATTTAGAGAGCCGGCGGAATTATTTATGGCCATTCGGGGTCCAGGGGCAATTAGAGCTAAAAGAAATCAATAAGCGAGATCACTGAGAAATCGCAGGCCTACTCCAGATTTTCTTAGCGGGACAGCTAAGCAACAAGCTAAGCACAGCAATACAGACGTCGCCTCGGACGGCTGGCGGCTTAATTGAAGAGGATCCAGCGCTAGAATCGTGTTCTAGCCACTGGTAACTGGTTGCAGCGACAACTTCTCGGACTGCCAGTTGTCTGTGCTCAATTCCGATGCCAATTCCAGCCTCAGAATGCAGCAAGCTCTGGCTCTTGAGACGCTGCTCAGCCGCTTTTCCGCTGCTTCTTGGCTGCAGCATTTCCAACGCTTTCTTCGGAGTTGATAAAACGCTTGGCCGCCGCCGTTTGTGCCACATTTTGTGGCTGGCCATTGCAGCAGACACTCCGCAGTCACCTGGAGATGAGCAGCCTGGTGAGATTCCTTTTGCTGAGCCTGATCTGCGGCTCACTGGCCTCTGGCCAGGACAGTGCCAGCGGGAGTGACCAGCAGGTCACCTCCATCCCAGAGGCGGCAACAGCGACGGAGGCAGCCCGGGGACTGGCCAGCAGCTACGAGCCGGAGGACAAGCAGGCGTTGCGCAAGAACTCGCACATATTCATGGGCATCTACAAGAACTACAAGAGCACCTATCTGGGCAACAAGACGACCAGTGAGTACAAGAAGCGGCTAAGGGATCGCGTCAGTGCCCCTCAAATGGCGGGCAATGAGGCTCAGCTGAATCCTGTGGAGCAGTTGGAGGCTGGAGACATTCTGGCTGAGGAAATCCGCCAGGATGCCAATGCAGAGGCCCTGCTGGAGGCCCAGACCGAATCGTCCAGTTACGACGACAGTGAAACGTCGGCGGGCAAAAAGCGACGCAAACGCAAGCGCAAGGATCGTAACAAGCGGCGCGAGGAATTGGATTCCGAAACAGATCGGCCGGATGAGCCTGGCCAGGAGGACGAGGGCATTGAGCGGTATCATGTGGGTCCCGGGCTTAATGTCAGCCTGGACATGAGCAATGATATAGTGCACGTGAAGCTGGATGGGGAGAACCTCAAGGAGATTATCGCTGCCCGCTGGCTAACCTCGGATAACAGTGAAGAAGGTGGGTCTCCCCTCGCTCAAGTTAATGTAAATAATTATGATTTAATGTTGCCTTATACCTTAGGTCGCGGCAAGAAGTACGACATGATTACGAAGGTCCTGCCTCTGTTCATACTGCCCTTCCTCATCCAGTCGGCCATCGTTCCCTTCCTTGTCACCAAGCTTAAGCTCCTGCTAGTAAAATCCATTCTGGTGGGCAAGCTGGCCATCTTCCTGCTAATCATCTCGGCCATCAAGAACGGCAATAAGATGGTCCAGAGCTACGAAGTGCCCTCATACTGGGCCGGCGAGCCGAGTCGGAGATCCGAGCTGGCCGCCGCCGCCTCCTCCGCGGCTGCCGCCTACAATGGCTACCGGGTGGAGGGCAAGCCGACCACCTGGATCAGCTAGAACACGAGACCATCTCACGACGCAATAAGTTACGGTTCTAGGCTTTAAGTTCTTCGAAATAAAGATATGCACAAATCGGGTTGATTTACTGACTTCTCATTGGGTTTACCTGCTTGTATTGATAATTTACTAGGGACACCTGTGGCGTAATGACTTGCTTCCTCTCCAGAAATCAGCTAAGAAACCCAAGGCCAAGGAAAGTGATTGCAAAAGTTTATATAAATATTATCTTATGTGTTTATTGATAGCGTTTGTTGTGGCAATAAATAGGCGGTGGGAACAAATAAATTAACTTAAATCATAGTTGAGTAATCTCTGCTGGGGCTCGACCAGCGCCCCCTTCCTCCTGGACTCTCAGTAGCAGGTGTACTGGCGCTCCAGCTGGACGCACACATCGCACTGCAGGCGGAAGCCCCAGACCAGCTTGCAGTTGCATCGCCGCTCGGTCTTGAGGTGCTGGGAGCGGGCGCGGTAGCCGCAGACGCGGCACAGCTGCTGGCAGGAGAGGCGCTCCTCCACCGAACTGCTCCGGTCCTTGGAGCACAGGCGGCCGCGGGTGCCCTTCCAGCGGCCAGTGGCCTCCGGCTCACAGTAGTTGGGCGAATCCTCCATGAAGACCAGCGTGTCGAGGGGAATGTTTTGCCACATTATCTTTAGGTTGCTGCTGGTGTTGTCCAGCTGGATGGCATCGTCGTACATCTTGAGCAGGTCCTGGGCCAGGCTCTCGAAGGGTTTCAACACGGCCACACACTCCTCTTCGAGGCATTGGCCCGGCGCGGGTCCCGGTTGCTTGCAGCGGCATTCGTTTTGCAGGGACTCTTTGACCAGGGCCCCCACCACCCGCTGGTTGTGGGCAGAGGCTCCCGATCCAGTTCCGAATCGCTTTTCGTACTGCTCCAAAGCCTTCTCCGGCTCATGGGCACAGGGCACATTGAGGGCATTCTCCGTGCATCCGCATCCAGCGATGACTCCGTTGGCGCAATCCTTGGTTAGGGTGTAAACAATGGCCGCCATGGAGATGGCCGTCACATAGACACCCTCCCGATCCGTTGTGGTATCCGCCGGACTGGTGGATCGCTTCACGAAATCCGTGGCCGGGCAGTTCCATCGCTGCCACTGGAAGCTGTGCTGGCAACTGGCCAGAGCAAGTTGCAGTCCCTTGGCGGAGATGTCCTCCCAGGATAGCGGGGCCTGGAACTGGGTGTACTGGTAGTAGTTCATGGGCTCCATGACGCCGGCCAAGGTTCTGGCCACTCCCAAAAACAAGCAGATTGTGAACAGCATTTCGTCTTATTCCGATATGTGTAATATGTGTGATGATGATTTCTCTCTGACGTCGCTAGCTCGACTGAATGATCGGCAGAGCGCTCTACTCGCTTATAAGGCGGCCGGCGGAAAGGGCGCCCTCCTGGGAGCGGCCCGTGGGAAATTCGGGCCTGGTCAAAAAACCGGAAATTTGCCATTTTCCACTTGGAAATTTTGCATGGGCAGGGGGTGTAGGAACTCCCCGCTGCGGACGAATAAAACCCACTGGCAGCCCGCGATGCAATTGCGGAGCAGCCCAGTTTCCTGCGTCTACCTGGAGGAACCCTGCCTCGGGCAACTTTCCCACGCTTAGGCAGGTAGATGTCAAGCGGCGCCCGACGTGCTCATGAATGAATTCCAGCCGGTTTCATTCAGTCCTGCCGGATTTCCCGAACTCCCACTGCACAACATCAATGCCCCGAAACGGATAGTATTCGGACTCGGATTCGGACTCGGGGATGTTTGGGTTTTTGTTTTGGACTGGCCAAGCCAATTATATAACAAAACATATGACAAACAGTAAATATGTAGCATGGCCATAATCTGGGAAATTAATTGCGCTTTGTGGTGAGCTGTCGAGCCGGGAAGAATAACCCCTCGGCTTCGGCATGGAGCCGGAATTGTTGGTATTTTCGAATTGCAAAAGTTAATACCTCGGATTAGGCCAAATGACGTTCAACATCATTAGGAGCAGATAGAGATAGATATCGATATGGAGAGGGATTGGATTTTTTAGTGCCGACTGGGAATGTTTTGGGATATTCAGAAAATGCGAAAAAACCAAATAAATATTTTTCTTAAGGATGCACAGTTTATCTATTCAATTCAATATTAAATGTTAATAAATACAAACAAAAAAAAACAACAAATATAAATATTAAAATATATTATAACCGGGGGAAACCGACAGATAAACTTATAGCCAAAAGATGGACTCAAATTTATAGCACAATTATAAAACAGTCATAACTCAATTGAATCTATAAATTCAACAAATCAAAGATAGGCTAAAACGCTATAAATTCTTCATTTGATTGAATCGAAATAAAAGTATAAAAGATAGTAAGTGAAATCTCAACTTGAACGTGACTTAACCCTGAAAATAATCGCCTGATAATGGCCGCTCGTTAGCACTTCATAGATAAAATAGAACAAGCGGTTATAAAATCAACAAAGATCCGTACTTGAATGTAGATCTATATAGTAATTAAGGTGCGTTTATTATAGGGAGAACTTCCCGCTTCCATCGCACAAAAGGAAAAGTCATTATAAGTACGTCAATTCCAGGCTTAGCCTCACAAAAACGTGTGCGGAAATTTGAATGTTTGGGTTTTAGCACAATGAAAATACCGATTCTCTAATTAGGTCGCCGCCAGTCTCTCGTATGGCTTTCCGTGTCACCGGAAAAGGGTTTTTTAGGACCTAAGCGCCGGGTAAAACAGAACCAGACAGGGACGACACTATCCTTAAGGGACCGCAGGTAGCCGAAGTTTGCTCAATTGGTCTGCCGTCTCGGCAGGCTGCGTACTTCGCACACATATGGGCCTTGACACCGGGAGTTCCTCGGGGCTCAGCGGCCAGCTTGGAATTCCGACACTGGTCAAGGAAAAACGCGCCAGATCTTTGGCATTTCTAACTTTAATCAAAGCGCCATGACAGGGTCCATAAATTTGGGTGATTGTCAGCCGAGAACACTGTACATACAGCCGTGTCCCGGCTAATACCGTGTTTGGCGGCTCACGACTTGCGATTAGATTAGCAATCTGCAACGCACGCAGCCAATTAAGATATAGGGGGCCCACTTGAGTTCCCGACAACCTTACCTGTCGCTCCGCCGGCTAGGGGAGCGCTCAGTTTTGCCGTGGACGCGGCCCGTGCTGGATTAACGCGACCGTCGCCATGATTATCACCGCCAAGCTGGTGGCCATTGGCCTGAGCCTGGCGCTCACCGCCTTCACCGTATCGACCATCGTCCTGGCCGTCCAGAAGGCGAGCCTGAAGAGCGACCTGCGCGACGCCCAGGAGAAGCTGGACCTGCTGGAGGCGGGGTTTACGAGTACGGCTGCTCCGGGGACCACGAGTTCTGCAGACCCGGGCACCACTAGCAGCACCACAGAGCCAGGTCCCACAGAGGCTCCGGAACCGACAGAGGGTCCCGGGTCTACTGCCTCCCCTGGATCGACTGCCTCTCCTGGATCGACTGCATCTCCGGCCACCACCGTAGCGCCTGAGGAGAAGATCGACTACAGACTACCTGGAAACCTAGTGCCCACGCACTACGATCTATATCTGTTCCCCAACATTGAAACCGGAGAGTTCAATGGGCAGGAGACCATTACCATTCAAGTTGCGGAGGCAACCGATAAGATTGTACTGCACTCACTTAACCTTAACATCTCGAGTGTAGCCGTGATGAATACGGGCAGTGAGACCCTGGATGTCCAGGAGACATCCTTCGATGCCGTCAGGGAGTTCCTCATATTCCAGCTAAACGAGCCCCTGACGCAGGGCCGCGTGATCCAGCTGCACATCGGATTCGAGGGCTCGATGGCCAACAAGATCGTGGGTCTGTACAGCTCGTCGTACGTGAAGGAGGACGAAAGTCGTAAGTGGATAGCCACCTCCAAGTTCGAGCCGACCTACGCCCGCCAGGCCTTTCCCTGCTTCGATGAGCCGGCCCTTAAGGCAGAGTTCACCATCACGCTGGTTCATCCCTCCGAGGGCGACTATCATGCGCTTTCCAACATGAACGAGGCCACCAGTGTGAGCCAGGGTGCCTTCCAGGAGGTCACCTTCGCGAGAAGTGTGCCCATGAGCACCTACCTGGCCTGCTTCATCGTCTCCGACTTCACCGCCAAGCAGGTGGACATTGATACGAATAGCATTGGGGATACCTTCACGATGAGTGTGTACGCCACTCCCGAGCAGATCAGCAAGGTGGACTTTGCCGTCGATGTGGGCAAGGGTGTGATTGAATACTATATTGACTACTTCCAAATCGAGTATCCGCTGCCCAAGCTGGACATGGCAGCCATTCCAGACTTTGTATCCGGGGCAATGGAGCACTGGGGCCTGGTCACCTACCGTGAGACATCCCTCCTTTACGACGCTGAGACAAGCTCGGCCACCAACAAGCAGCGGATAGCCAGCGTTATCGCCCATGAGTTTGCTCACATGTGGTTCGGAAATCTGGGTAGGTGGATGCAATGACTAATCTTAAAAACTAATTATTATTATTACTTTCCCTTTTAGTAACCATGAACTGGTGGAACGATCTGTGGCTAAATGAGGGTTTCGCTAGCTTCATCGAGTACCTTGGCGTGGATTCTGTGTTCCCAGAATGGAAAATGGCAAGTATTTAAAAATAAACTAACAAACAATATTCCCATCTTACGCTGAATTTTTAACCCAAACAGCGGGATCAATTTATTATCAGTACCTTGCACGCCGTACTCACTCTGGATGGAACCCTGGGGTCTCACCCAATCATCCAAACAGTAGAGAATCCCGACCAGATCACAGAGATCTTTGACACCATAACCTACTCCAAGGGCTCTTCCCTGGTGCGCATGTTGGAGGACTTCCTGGGAGAGGCGACCTTCCGCCAGGCGGTTACCAACTACTTGAACCAGTACAAGTACTCCACCGCCGAGACAGACAACTTCTTCTCGGAGATCGATAAGCTGGATCTAGACTATAATGTCACCGATATCATGCTCACATGGACGGTGCAGGTAAACCAAAATCCAAAGGTTTCTTTTGCGAATATTTTTTGCAACTCGATTTGGGGGTCTCTTCCATTTTGCAGATGGGTCTGCCGGTGGTCACGATCGAGAAGGTCTCCGACACGGAATACAAATTGACGCAGAAGCGCTTCTTGTCCAATCCGAACGACTATGAGGCAGATCACGAGCCCTCGGAATTCAGGTGAGTTCGGAGCAGAACTTATGGTTCGGATGGTATCTGATCGCGATTTTCGCACATACATTATTTGCACAGCTACCGCTGGTCGATCCCCATCACATACACCACCAGTGCACAGTCGGAGGTGCAGCGTGCCTGGTTTTATTACAGCCAGAGCGAAAGTAAGTGGTGCCATTTATATGCGGGACGAGTCTCTCATCATCTCTGATCTCTGAATCTCTTCTTCGCCAGTCACTATAACCGTTCCGGCTGCCGTCCAGTGGATCAAGTTCAACGCCGATCAGGTGGGCTACTATCGGGTGAATTACGAGACCGATCTGTGGTCCGCCCTGGCCGATCAGCTGGTGGCCGAGCCGAGCTCCTTCAGCGCCGGCGACAGGGCCTCCCTCCTGAACGACGCCTTCGCCCTGGCTGATTCCACCCAGCTGCCCTACGAAACGGCCTTCGAGCTGACCCGGTATTTGGACAAGGAGGCCGACTATGTTCCCTGGAGCGTGGCCGCCACGCGTCTCACCTCCCTGAAGAGGACCCTGTACTACACGAGCAGCTATGCCAAGTACAAGAAGTACGCCACTGCCCTGATCGAGCCCATTTACAAGGCTCTGACGTGGACGGTGGGCGAGGATCACTTGGACAAGTAAGTGGATATCCCCCAGAGTTAAATATATATATTTTTGAAATTGATTATTAAACTGCCTCGCCCTCTAGCCGCCTTCGTGTCACCGCTCTGAGTGCCGCCTGTTCCCTGGGCCTGGAGTCCTGCCTCACGGAAGCTGGACAGCAGTTCACCACCTGGTTGGCCAAGCCTGAGGATCGTCCCAAGCCCGATGTCCGGGAGACGGTTTATTACTACGGAATCCTCTCCGTGGGCAACCAGGAAGTGTGGGAGACTGTGTGGGAGCTTTTCGTCAACGAGGCCGATGCCAGCGAGAAGTCCAAGCTGATGTATGGACTGGCTGCCGTACAGTCTCCATGGCTGCTTCAACGCTACATTGATCTTGCCTGGAACGAGGAGTACGTGCGGGGTCAGGACTACTTCACCTGCCTCACCTACATTTCCGCGAATCCCGTGGGCGAGTCCCTGGTCTGGGACTATGTCAGGGAGAACTGGCTGCGATTAGTGGATCGCTTTGGCCTCAACGAGCGCTATTTGGGCAACCTGATACCCTCTATCACAGCCCGCTTCAGTACTCAGACCAAGCTCGAGGAGATGGAACAGTTCTTTGCCAAGTATCCAGAGGCCGGAGCCGGAACAGCTGCCCGCGTGAGGGCCCTAGAGACGGTGAAGAACAACATCGTGTGGCTGGCCGAGAACCTCGAGGGCGTGGACGCCTGGCTGGACAAGCAGCAACTGTAGAGCGCCCCGAGGAGGAAGTGGCTCTGTGGCCACGCTGCCCATTAAACTCGTACTCGTATAATTGCCATTATAAAGCAAAAATGTGCCGAACAGGCTGAAATAAAGATAAGCTAGTTATTGGGAAAACTCAAATTACAGCTCTATAAATAAGCAATTATCCATTCGCTGATTGGGCAAGCTAGTGGCCTGATAACAAAGTTGCAGCTTAAAAATGTTAGTATAAAGTTTAGGGCTGATTAATATACCAGATTTTATTGATCTTTATGAAGGGGACAAATGTCAGTTCTTTAGTTTATATTCAATGGAAAGTTTCTAGGGGGATGGTGTAATCATGATTTTGGAATTTTTAACAACAAATTTTGTGCAGAAACTACAACCAATTTCGAGCAAGATTAAATTGCAGAACCATTTCAATTTTTACGGATAAAACAGTAAAGATGTAGTTTATTTTCTATGGTCTCATTAGCCACGGTTATCGAATCGATATCCTCCTCTATCCCAATTGCTGCCACAAATGAATCACTTTCATTGGATCTCCGGATTTCACACTATCGCCTGGCTCTGACCGTAATCTTGGCTATTTGGCCAATTATTATCGCAATCGTGTGGGCGAACATAAAACGACTCGAGTGCACACAATCAACTGGAGCCGGTGATGGCCGCATTATTGGGCCAGCAGTTAGTACGTCCAAAAGTTTCGTTAGTTAGTCGCTCGCGATAGGTGCGATTGCAAAGATGTTTTTGTCGGGCTATTGGCTACAGGTGGTTCTCTCCTGGGCGGTGGTGGCCTTTGCCACTGCCACCGTGGTGGTGGCTGTGCAGAATGCGAAGCTGGAGCAGGATCTGCGGGACGTGCAGAGCAAGATCGACATATTCGAGGAGTGGAACGGAGCAAAGAACCAGCGGGTGAAGCGGGAAGATAGTGTATGTAATCAGCTGCAAAGGTTAATCGATGAAATTACGATAATCCCCAATCGATTTGTAGATTGATTATCGCCTGCCCACGGCTCTGGTGCCCACGCACTACGAGGTCTACTGGCATCCGGACCTGGAAACGGGAACCTTCACTGGCCAGGAGAGGATCAGCATCACAGTGGTCGAGGCCACCAACCAGATTATCCTGCACTCATACCTGCTTGAAATCACGAGTGTCTATGTCCTAAACCGTGAAGTGGAGAGCTTTGAGCTGGAGACGGAGCGCCAGTTCTTGATAATCACTCTAACACAGGAGCTGCCGGTGGATGCCAGCATCACCCTGGGCATCATATTCAATGGACAGATGAAGGACAAGCTTGTGGGCCTCTACAGCAGCACCTACCAGAACGAGGCGGGAGCGCAGAGGTAAAAGACATTTCTTGCTTAAGCCTGAAAGTATGCTAAGACTTATATAATATCTTCAAAACCAGAAACATATCCACATCGCAATTCGAGCCCGTCTATGCCCGCCAGGGATTCCCTTGCTTTGATGAGCCCGCAATGAAGGCCACCTTTGCCATAACAGTGGTTCATCCCAGTGGCTCCTACCATGCCATCTCCAACATGAAAGAAATCGTAAGATCACCCTTAAGTTATAGCCACAACCCAGCGATAAATCCAAGAAAAACCCCTTTAGGAATCAAACTACTTGGGCGATTATACTGAGGCCATCTTCGAGAGTACTGTAAAGATGAGCACCTACCTGGTGTGCGTCATCGTCTCCGACTTTGCCTCACAAGAAACAACGGTCAGGGCGAATGGCATCGGTGAAGACTTCTCCATGCAGGCCTACGCCACGTCCCATCAGATCGACAAGGTGGAGTTTGCTCTGGAGTTTGGAGCAGCGGTCACGGAGTACTATATCCAATACTATAAGGTGGCCTATCCCCTGACCAAGCTGGACATGGCCGCCATTCCCGACTTCTCCTCGAATGCGATGGAGCACTGGGGCCTGGTCACCTACCGGGAGACCGCTCTGCTTTACGACTCCAGTTACAGCTCTACTCTTAACAAGCAATCAATTGCCGGCGTCTTGGCCCACGAGATTGCGCATCAGTGGTTCGGTAACTTGGTCACCATGCAGTGGTGGAACGACATCTGGCTAAATGAGGGCTTCGCCCGCTACATGCAGTACAAGGGAGTCAACGCAGTGCACTCGGACTGGGGAATGGTAGGGTTCCAAGGCCTTGACTTGCATCTGAAAATCGAAATTACTTACCTTCTTTATTCCCCTTCTAGCTGGAACAGTTCCAGATCATCGCCCTGCATCCCGTTCTGCTGTACGACGCCAAGCTTTCCTCGCATCCCATTGTGCAGCAGGTTGACACTCCCGCCGAGATCAGTGCCATCTTCGACACCATCAGCTATGAGAAGGGCGGCTCCGTGATCCGCATGCTGGAAACCTACGTGGGCGCCGAGAACTTCGAGGAGGCGGTGACCAATTATCTGGTGAAGCATCAGTTCCAGAACACGGTAACCGATGATTTCCTCACCGAAGTAGACGCTGTGGTGCCCGCTTTGGGCGTTAAGAAGCTGATGCTTACCTGGACCAACCAGATGGGTTATCCAGTGCTAAATGTATCGAAGACATCCGCCGGTTTCCTGGTTACCCAGCAGCGATTCCTCTCCAACCCAGCCAGCTACGAGGAGGAGCCCGAGGATAGCGAGTTTGGCTATAAATGGAGTGTTCCTATCACCTACACTGCCTCCACCTGGGAAGATGGTAGTGTGAGCAGTGTGGTCTACGATTACGATGTGGACTCCGTGGGCATTGCTTTGGACAGCGACATTGAGTGGATCAAGCTGAATGTCCATCAGACGGGCTACTACCGGGTCAATTATGAGGAGAGCCTCTGGACCCTGCTCATCCAGCAGCTGACCACTGATCCCAGTCGCTTCGACATCGCCGACCGAGCCCACCTCCTTAACGATGCCTTTGCCCTGGCAGATGCCAGCCAGCTTTCGTACATCGTGCCGCTGGAGATGACCGGCTACCTGGCCCAGGAGCAGGACTTTGTGCCCTGGTATGTGGCGGCCAACAAGTTGATCGCCATCCACCGCAGCCTCATGTTCAGTGAGGGATACGTGTCCTATCTCACCTACGCCAGGAGCCTCCTAGCCAACATTTACCAGGAGTTGGGCTGGACTGTAGATGCCAACAATCACCTGAGAAAGTATGTAATTAAGTCCAGCCGGAAGGGTATATCTTCACTTAACTTGTCTTGTACTTTTCTGCAGTCGCTTGAGGGTCTCGATCCTGTCCGCCGCCTGTGCCCTTGGCCTGCCCGATTGCCTGGAGCAGGCTTCCACCCGCTTCAACGCCTTCCTGCAAAACCCCACGACCGCCAGGCCATCGCCCGATCTCCGAGAGATCGTCTACTACTACGGCATTCAGGAGTCCAGCAGCCAGTCTTCTTGGCAGCAGCTGTACGCTCTTTTCCTGGACGAAGCCGACGCCAGTGAGCGTGTTAAGATGATGTACGGTCTGGCGGGCTCTCGAGATGCCCAGACACTGTTCAACTTCTTGGATCTGGGCTACGACGAGAGCATCGTGCGCTCGCAGGACTACTTTACCCTAGTGCAAAACATTGCTGCCAATCCGGTGGGTGAGCCCGTAGTGTGGGAGTACTACCGCGAGCATTGGCCCGAGCTCTCGGCGCGCTTCACCCTGACAAACAGGAATTTTGGCCGCCTGATTTCCCAGATCACTCAGAACTTTGCCGGCACCGTGAAGCTAGAGGAGGTGCAGCAGTTCTACGCCAAGTACCCGGAGGCCGGAGCCGGAGCCAACTCCCGGCTGGAGGCCGTCGAGACGATCAAGTACAACATCGAGTGGCTGGCCAGGAACCGCGCTGACATCACCGACTGGCTGAGCGGCACCGCCTCGCCGCTGCTGACCGCGAAAAACCAATTGTAAAACCCAAAACAAGCCAATTGGGCACTAATTAGAATTGCATAAGCCTGTGAAATTTCCGCTTGAGTTCAATAAAATAAAATTCCAAATCAAACCATAAATAAAACCATGAAAATTTCAATTTTATCCGGGCGTATGGCGATTTTTATAGCCCTCAGGAATGGCCACAGATACGGGTTATGTTTCGATATCGTATATGGTCAGAATACGGAATCATGACCGTGCGTAATTGTAATTTCCATGGAGACGAGACTGTCCAGCCATAAATGCCGATATATGGCCTTGCTATAAACATAAACATAAGGCTATTAACGTAAGTGTAAAGGACCACGGACCACGGACCACGTTATGGTGGCTTATAAACCGTATTTATCTGGACACGGAGTTGTATAGCCCGTCTAGATAGTGGTTAGCAATCTGGCCGGGTTTATGAAGTCCAAATTGTGGGGTCAGATTCGCTACTTGCATTCAGTTTCCATTTCGGCTTCCAGCCTGAAGGAAGCAGTCGCGACAGTGTTCCGGTAAAAAGGAGAAATCAGGATCCCTTGAAATGCATTTTGCCTGTGAGTTTGACATTATGGAATAGGGATCTTGATTTGAACTCTTAATTTGTGATTCGCGCAGGGCTTACGGTCAAGGCAGTGGCCATCTTTCTGGGCCTGGCCACCACGGCCTTCTGTGTCTCCACCATTGTGCTGGCAGTTCAGAATGCGGATCTGGAGAACGATCTGCAGGATGCCCTTGACAAAATCGACGCCCTAACAGCGGACACCACCTCCACTTCCACTACAACGATCACCACTCCTACCCAGGATCCCAACAGGCCAACTGACGATGACGGTGGCACTACTCCTGGCGGCATTACAACTCCCGGTGGCATTACAACTCCTGGTGGCATCACAACTCCTGGTGGCGAAACGTCGCCAGGAGGTGGCACCACTGCTTCGGGGGCCACCACTCCTAGTGGCGGCTCTACCTCCACCAGCACTGCTCCCATTTACCCGACTCTGCCAACAGGACTTCCCGATCCGGATGCGGTAAGTGTAGTAAAATGTATCTAGGATGTGTATACATCCTTTAAATATCATTGAACATGTGAAGAAGAACATGAAGAACATGTCAAGTGATATACTCAAGCGCTAATTAGTGCTGGAAAAAACCCCAGCTAGGATAGACCCATTGGTCATCGGTGGTCGTAAAGTCGGCATGACCACCAATTCGGCTTCGAGTGCTTATCGCCCGAGGAAACGTTTATTTCTTTGTATTTTTATCTTAGTAAAACTTTTTGTTGCGTCCAGAAATTGGTTCATTTTACGGTTTAGTTAAGTCAGTTTAGTTGCGAACAACACCCAGTAGAGAGTCTCGAAAATGGGCCACCTAACGGAGAAGTTTAAGGGTATTTATGTCTATCAAAGGATATTCGATTTACCACAACTTTAGGATATATATGTTTTCATAGACTTGTTCACCGCTGAACGCGTGGCTATATTCTTCGGCCTGCTATCCACCTGCCTGATCGTTGCCCTCGTAGTTGTGATCGTTCACAGGGATAACCTGTGGATAGAGCTGGACGAGGCCAAGCGGATGTTGGATGTGCTCGAGGACTATATCCAAAGTCACTTGAGGACCGTCACATCTGACATAAGAGGCTCAACCACTTAGAGGGGGTTTTGAGGGATAATTTATGATACGAAATGTTTCTAAAAGTGTTTTCCTTAGCTCAATAAATTTATACATTTGCAAACTCTTAAACTTTGAGTCATTAAATAATTGTAATTATACTTTATTTTAAATGTGAACAAGTATTTGTGAATCATATTACTTAGTCACCCTTATAGCTCCCCTTTAAAGTTTTAAATTACTGCAACGAAGTCCATTTGGTTTATGACTTGAGCCAAACATTATTCCCCTTTCCCTATCGCCGCTTTATCGCTGAATTGATCGCTTTATAGGGCAACTTATTATCGATAGCCTGGATACGGAATAATCTTTACAACTCCCGCAGATTGAGTGGCGCCTGCCCACCGAGCTGAGGCCCATCAAGTACAGGCTCTACTACGAGCCCAACCTGAAGACTGGCGAGTGCACCGGCACCATTTCCATCCAGTTCCAGCTGAATGAGGTGACCAACCTGATCGTCCTGCACTCCCTGGACCTCAATGTCCACAGCATCAGCATTCTGAATATGATGGCGCGCATGCGCGTTGCCGTCGACAGCGTTACCCAGGATGATACCCGCCAGCTGCTGCTCATCAAGCTGCGGGAAGTGCTGAGCTTGAACAAGGCCTACACACTCTCCGCAAGCTTTGATTGCAACCTGACCAGCCTCACTGGAAGCTATATCAGCAACTACACGGATGCCAGCGGAAATGTCAAGTGAGTAGGAAACTCATATATCTTTATTTAGTAAGATTTTCTGTAATATGAAATTGTTAAGATTGGGGGAAACCGTTATGTCTCTTTATTATCTTTCCTTTTCAGAGTTTTATAAATTTTACATATTCAGCATAATTTTTTTTATAGTAGCTAAAACAGCTTTTAAAACCTCTAGTTACATATTTGAAGGGTTAAATTATTCAACCATATATTGTCAAATATTTGTTAAGATATATATTATTTATTAAGATACTTAAACATATTTTTAAAATAATTTTTTCAATTGCAAAAGTTGATTACAATTGAAGACCCTCTAGAAATTTTAAACCTAGTTTATTGACCACAAGTGTACCCCCTGGCGAATACCCCTCATACCCATCGAGACAGAGGAGTTTACGGCTTGTTGTGGCCACAAAAAAGCCGGTCTCCGGCGATCAGCTGGGAGAGCTTTCCAGCGAAGCTCGGCGAACGCGACGGCTTTTGAGCGAGGCTTCAGTTGGAAGTTGAAAGCTAAGCGCGACGGTCGCAGATGAGCGGTCGCGTCTTGGTAACCGATCTCAATTTGCCGCTGTGCGTATACCCCTCGCTCCCCCTCTTTGACCATCTTGAGTGCGCGCCTCCGATTTGAATCAAGAATGAGTGCTGTCCGCCAATTGCCGTTATCAAATTAGCCGAGAGAGAACAGTGTCCGGACGCGGTCCCGGCAAAGTGACAATTAATGCCGTTGCTCCGGAAAACGTGACTCGTAAAGCTGTGATTCTGATTCGGATTCCAACTGTAAATAGCCAAGAATCGGCATAGTGCGAAATGTGACAAAAATAATAGATAATAATAAGTGGCCCAGATCAATCAGATACCGTTGAATCGCCACCCGAAAGCTTTGAAGCGTACGATCCGTATATATCATGTTTTTTTTTTTGTGCCATTGTCATTGAGTTAGCCCGTTAGGCGATCGAGCATTCGAGTTCTAATTGGAGGCATTGAGGCGGTTACTAATTTTAATATTTGCTGAAATGCGACCACCGGATTCTATGCCAACTTTGACTTTCAACAGTCACAGTTATCGATAAAAACAACTGGCCAGCGCAGAACGAACTCCACATGGCTAAAATCAAACAGGTTGCACCGCTCCCTGATGGCCCCGCCGGGTGCCCCTTCCCCCTGCTGCAAACAGGCTTGGAGCCAAATGCATACATAGTTCACTTGCCGCGCAAGTTCTTGGCCTTAAATCGGCCACTGCCGCTGCACTGGAAAAAATTCCATCGAAACTGCTAGTTTATTAGTAATCTCCCTCAGCAGAAACCTTTTGATTTGAAAGCCAGCGAACGTGACATTTCTATAAGCTTGGTTTTTAAAGAGATATCGGAGTATATGTTTGAAATTTCTTGCTTTGAAATGTCTTTTGGATTTATCATCTACAAAAATTGTTGAGCTGATAGAAACTTTAAAAATCGAATTATCGTTTAAATGGTTATGAATGAACTTATTTAATTGATTTAAAATTAATCACATATCATATATTCATTTCATATTTAAAACAACAAGAATTAAAACCAGTTTAAAACATTTTTAAAAGTATAATTTATTTATAGAATACATTGAACTTTGTATTAAAAAGTGTCTTACTAATGTGAAATACAATGAACTGGTTAATTTTTTGTAGTACTAATGAGCCATTAGTGAAGACAGCAAATTTTGTAGATTTTAATGAAATTTTAAATTAAATTAAATTGCGTTTAGTGATCTTAAATGATAATTCATTTTCCGCCGTGTATCTTGCCTGCCTGCCTGTTGGCCAAGAAATGCGCCGTGTTTACAACCCGAATGCGGCGGATACTCAATGGCCGCTGAGAAATTACTTTCTTCGAAAAGGCCGGAGCGAAATGGGTCGACATCATTGACTGGCAAGCAACTTGTTGTCGTAGTATTCCCTCTCTTCCCCTCTGGTTTCTCCATCTCCACCTCATTTCTCGTTTTGTTTTGTTCTTCAAAAGTTCAGTCGAAGCGCAGCCAGTGGTCAAATCTTTTTTCATTTTCATTGACACTGATTTCTTTTTTGTTCTTCTTGGGCGAACAAAAAAATATAGAAATTTCACTCAGGTGTGAGAAAGAACCTTTGAAAGTGAAGGGTGTTGTATTTTAATTGGAATTTGGTGCTAATAGGACATTTGACACCTTTTGGGGGGGTGTGACTTAAATAATATCCCATCAATATCCCATTAAAAATTCATGAATTCATTCTTTTTTTTTGGTTCAAAGGTTCAAATTATCAAAAGCCATGGAGAATAATTTTTATTGAGACAATATAATTGTTTTTAATTGATAAATAGAGTCCAAGTGTATACACAAATTTGTTGTTATATAGTACTCTCGTTTTTCTTCTTGAATTGATTTATATATTTCAAATTCTCTAAGCAATTAAACTGTCCAAATGTTGATTTACTTAGTAATATTTGTGATTTATACGAGAAAGTAAAATATTTACATTTTGTAAACTAAACTCTATTTAAAATAAAATATTGCCAAGGCTAAAATGTCTTAACACTAAATTGATTGCCTGCCCTTTGTTGGCTATTATGCAACTATTTGATTGATAGTAAACTTATTTCGCATACCGTTAACCCCAAACATGCAAATTGTGGCAATCATTTCTTTGTCCACCTTGTGTCTTCCCCCTTATTTATTGTTTTTATTTTTATTTTAATTTTTCCTTTGTGAATATCGTAAATGGCAGGCACGTAAAGGCGACCTTTATCAAGTGCCATCCCATGGCGGGTGTAATGGGCTGTGTGTTTGGGTTTTTTACTCCTCAGTATCAGTATTTTATTTTGTGTTTTGGGTGTTTCTGGGGCGCACTTGTCACGTAAAGCCAAGCGATTTCCATTTTTGCGGCTATTACTCGTCGCCAGGCTGTGAGTACTGTGAAAGTTATGACCTTAAAAATGGTCAAAGAACGTGTTTTAATTAAAAGCTTTCAATTTCTAATTTTTAATATTCAAGTTGGTTCTTTTGTGGAGTAAACAAAATTCTTTTCTGGAATTAATTCATTTCGATAACAGGTTAGAAAGACAGTCAACATTTTTGAGAATAAATAAATTTGTTTCTGTGTGTTTTAAAATTATATATCAGGTTCAAGAGACAGTCAGAAATAATAAAGTAGGCTCACTTTCAAGAAAGGTCATTTAGCGGTTTGTTTATTAGCAAGAGTCTTCCACTGTATATTTTGTGATCATTAAACTCGATCTTCAAAGAAGTGAAAATGTGTGCGACTCATTAGCGGAGCATGAGAACGGTTCTGCTATGACATGTGCCCCGCGATCAACGCTTCATCGGCTCCATGCGAAGACATCCACGTAGATGTAGATGCAGTGGGGCGTGTCCGAGTCGGAGTCACATATATCTAGACCCAACCTATGTGCCAGCTGCCATTGTCTGCAGATCTTCTGGCTGTATATTCAGCCGCTCATAAGGTGGCAGTCATGCAATTTGGTTGCCGCCAATGTGCGGTGGCTTTTGTGCGCGATGCGCGCTCCCTAATTGAGTCAGCATTACATCATCGGATGGCTCCGCGATCCACGGCAGATGCGAGGGGATTAGGCCTGGGCATGGGTATGGGTATGGGTATATCAGAGACAATTGCCAGGCGGCGGCTGGTGAAAATTAGCATATTCTGCAGTCTCGAATTCCTCATTTCGCACAATGTGAGATGAATGGCGGTCGGGTGGGATGTTGCAGCTGCATTGTATACGGTTCTCCGCTTAATATATGCCTGATGGGTACTCCTTCATCCTGACATAATTGTCAAAGCAAAAGCTCCACGGCTCCACGGCCAATTCAATTCATTTCCATTGCTAATAATGGCATCTGCAATTTCTTCCCATCTCACAAACTCTGCAGATTTGTTGCCAGATACTCCTCGTAAATCTGCCCGGCAAATTGACTGGCAAAAAGGCAACAACCTCTAGCTATCCGTCAATCAATACTGCACTGCAAGAAACTATGCTGATTAATAGTGATCTCAACTAAGCTTTATTTGGACTAGAGATTATTATTTTATGAGAGATCAAACTGCTTTTATGATTATCATTGAATAAGAAATTAACAATTGATTGAGTTTAAGTCATGGGATATCATACTTTTCCGGACAAAGACACCAACGCCTCGGTAGAAAGTGGCCTGCGGTGGTCGCCGTATCATTGCGACAAGCCCGGGGATGTAATGCAACTTTTGCGGTTAGCCAGCCCAATTATTCCGACTCCAATTCCAATTCCAACACCAACTAAACAAAACTAAAACATGGCTTCGGGTATTTCTTGTAACAATTTCATTGAGTGACCAACTTCATTACGTGACCGGTGGAGGGTGATCAGGAGAGAGAGCAGGGTACGGGCCTCAAATTACAGGCATCTGATTGATCTGCAGCGAGACAAAATTTAGGCAATCTCCACCGGGAGAGATGGAGTGACGGAAGCTGGGCCGCTGTCCATAAAAGCCGGGTTTGTTTATAAGCAGCTCGCTCGGAGATTATAAAAACTGATGATGGCAGCGGCGGCGCATGTAATTCAGTACGCGGAGACGCTTTATGATGCTCTCGAATTACCTCGCCGATGACACAATAGATTTTTATGAAGTTGTGGCATTCGGTTCAAAATAAAACTACAGTTAACAGAGTGCAGATCGCGACAGTGACACCCAGAGTTAAGCCCTAATATAATGTTCCCAGGCATTTAGTGTTTCAGAACGCAGAGTCATACAGCATTCAACCATCTCTACCCAGTGTGTAAATAAGTGGAAAATAAATACGAATCGAAGGGAAAAATAAAAGGAAGAGAAATCATGTATTCAGCGAAAAACGTCCGCCCGCGCAGCAGTCTCTCCACAGACGACAATCACCGGATCAAGGACACCAACCGGCCTCACAAGGCCCCAAGCAACACGATCCTCACCCTGGCCGCCTTCTGCGTCTTCCTTCTGGTGCTCTGTGGCTTCCTACTGGGCGCCCTCGTCTACGTTGGCAAGAACATTGCCGACGAGCACCAAAGGCAACAGCAGCAGCAGCAATTCGCTGCAAACAGCTCACAGTTGGCCTCGGACGGGGCTTTTCGCACAGTGTATGTGGACCGCGATCAATTGCTCTCCACAAAGCCTATACTCAGCGTCCTTGCAGGTTGGTGTTTTGCTTCAGTCTCAGATTAGTGAAAGAGTCTTTATTTAGAGCATAAATAGAACTAGAAAGCAACTAAAAGCGGCAGTTTTCTGTAATAGTTTTTGTTTACTTTTATAAACAGAAAAAGCTGCGTTGAGTGAGCCTTTCTTTAGTTGTCAGATTGTTCACAAAAATGTTTAAAAATGCTAAGAAACTCTAACAGTTTTTTTAAATCAAGCTTGAATATGGCGCGCAGTTTTTACGGTACGATATTCGTTGAGCTGATAGGCAGTTATCGATAGCCACTTGTTGCACGTTCAAAAGTATATTGGATAAAATAATTGAGAAACCAGATTTAAATGTACTAATTTAATGCAAGTACTTATTTAAATATAAATACTGCTAATTTATAAGCAAAACCCCAATCTTTGCATATAATTAATTTAATTACTGCCATAAATACCTATCGAACCAATTTCCCAACCTGGGTTCTGGTCGCCGCTGAAAGCTTATTTACGTTACGAAGCATATTTTTTATATCTTCCTGTGGTAGGGTCACACTGTTTTAGCTGAGCTTTTTATTGAGACTGATTAGGAAAGATAGTTAATTTAGGCGCCCAACAACCATTCAGTGATTATTAAACCGCTGTTAAATCGCACACCACACCACCAGATAACCGAGCCTATACCACGCAAGTGCCCGACAGCAGCAAGGCCCACGCCATGGCCACCTTAGCGCCCTCCATCAAAGTCGCCAGCAAGGTGCTCCAGAATCTGGGATTCCGGCTGCCCCAGCAAATCAGGCCCAGCAAGTACCGCCTGCAACTGCGCCCCGATCTCAAGCAGAAGAACTACTCCGGCAACATTAGCATCAGCTTGCAGGTGCTGGAGCCCATTGCATTTATTCCCGTCCACGTCAAGCAGCTGAACGTGAGCACCGTGGAGGTGCAGCGCCTGGACGAATCGGGAGCACCGCTAAAGAGCATTATCCCAGCGCTGACCTTCGCCCATCCGGAGTTCGAGTACTGGGTCACAGAGTTCGATCAGCCCCTGGAAGTGGGCAACTACTCGCTGAGCCTCAACTTCAGTGGATCGCTGATTGATCGGATCACGGGAATGTACCAGAGCTCCTATCTGGACAAGCTGAAGAACCGCACCAGGTAGCCTGAGCTGCTAACCAACCAAGACTAACAATCTAACGTAGCCTTTAACTAGTTTAACCCACTAACATTAAGTTTATAAAGTAAATTTCTACATTACCCTGCTAACATTTGATATCCTCCCGTTCCAGATCGATTATGAGCACCAAGTTCGAGCCAACCTACGCCCGACTGGCCTTCCCCTGCTTCGATGAGCCTGCCTTGAAGGCTCAGTTTACCATCACCGTGGCCCGTCCCAGTGGCGATGAGTACCATGTTCTGTCCAACATGCCGGTTGACAGCGAATATGTTAATGGCGATCTCACCGAGGTGACCTTCCAGGAGACAGTGCCCATGAGCACGTACCTGGCCGCCTTTGTGGTCTCTGACTTCGCCTACAAGAGCACCATCGTGGAGGGAAGTACCATTGAGCTGCGTGTCTATGCCCCACCTGCCCAGGTGGAGAAGACCCAATATGCCCTGGACACGGGAGCTGGAGTCACAGCCTACTACATCGACTACTTCAACACCTCGTACCCGCTGCCGAAGCTGGACTTGGTGGCCATACCCGATTTCGTGTCTGGTGCCATGGAGAACTGGGGACTGGTCACCTTCCGGGAGACCGCTCTTCTGTACGATGAAGCGACCAGCTCCAGCGTGAACAAGCAACGTGTGGCCATCGTGGTGGCCCATGAGTTGGCTCACCAGTGGTTCGGCAATCTGGTGACCATGAACTGGTGGAGCGACCTCTGGCTGAACGAGGGCTTTGCCTCGTTCGTGGAGTACAAGGGCGTGAAGCACATGCACCCGGATTGGGACATGGACAATCAGTTTGTGACCGAGGAGCTGCACCCAGTATTGACCATCGACTCGACTCTGGCTTCCCATCCCATTGTCAAGTCCATTCAGAGCCCCGCCGAGATCACGGAGTACTTTGACACCATCACTTACTCCAAGGGCGCCGCCTTGGTTCGCATGCTGGAGAACCTGGTGAGCGAGCCCAAGCTGAAGAATGCCACCACTCGCTACCTGAGACGTCACATTTACAGCACTGCCACCACGGATGACTACCTCACAGCCATTGAGGAGGAGGAGGGTCTGGACTTTGATGTTAAGTAAGTGGATCGGTAATTCCATCAAGTTCCTTGTCTAATCCCCCATAACTTACAGACTGATAATGAAGACCTGGACGGAGCAGATGGGTCTCCCAGTTGTCCAGGTGGAGAAGAGTGGCACCACCTACAGGCTTACCCAGAAGCGTTTCCTGGCCAATGAGGATGACTATGCAGCCGAAGCGGAGGCCTCTTCCTTCAAGTAAGTGGGATTAGTTGTACTTTTATGTAATTTTGCTAAAAATCCTCGCTTACTCCTCATTTTAGCTACCGTTGGTCGATTCCCATTACCTACACCAGCAGCATCAACACCGAAGTTCAGTCCACGATCTTCAATCACAATGACAACGAAGTCAGCATAACGCTGACCAGCGAACCCACCTGGATCAAGTTCAACAAGGATCAGGTTGGATACTACCGTGTGAACTATGCCAATGAACAGTGGGCAGCTCTTACAAGTGCCCTGAAGGCGTCACGCGAGACCTTCAGCACCGCTGATCGTGCTCACCTGCTGAACGATGCCAACACCTTGGCCGCTGCCGGACAGCTGGACTATGCCGTGGCTCTGGACCTGAGCACTTACCTGGAGAGCGAGGTCGACTATGTGCCCTGGAGCGTGGGCACCTCCTCGCTGGCTACCCTGCGCAACCTCGTCTACTACACAGATCTGTTCAGCGACTTCACCACCTACGCCCTCAAGCTGCTAACGCCCATTGTAGAGCGGGTGACCTTCACCGTGGGCACCGATCACCTGGAAAAGTAAGGCACCCAAACTGAAAGCTCTTTCCTAACTTTAATTATTTCATCTTTCACAGTCGCCTTCGCATCAAGGTTCTTAGTTCAGCCTGCAGCCTGGGTCATGCGAGCTCCCTGCAGCAGGCTGTTACGCTGTTTAACCAGTGGTTGGCCAGTCCGGAGACCAGACCCAGTCCCGATGTCAGGGACGTCGTCTACTACTACGGTATGCAGCAGGTCAACACCCAGGTGATCTGGGATCAGGTATGGCAGCTGTATTTGGACGAGAGCGATGCCCAGGAGAAGCTGAAGCTGATGAACTGCCTGGCCGCCGTGCGAGTGCCCTGGCTGCTGCAGCGTTATATCACCTGGGCCGCTGACGAGACCAAGGTGCGTCGCCAGGACTACTTCACGCTGCTGGGTTACATCTCCACCAATCCAGTGGGTCAGAGCCTGGTCTGGGACTATGTCCGCGAGAACTGGGAGCAGCTGGTGGCGCGCTTCGGCATCAATGAACGTACCCTGGGTCGATTGATTCCCACCATCACGGCTCGCTTCTCCACGCAAACCAAGCTGGAGGAGATGGAGCAATTCTTTGCCAAGTATCCCGAGGCGGGAGCCGGAACTGCGGCCCGCCAGCAGGCCTTGGAGGCGGTGAAGGCCAACATCAAGTGGCTGGCGGTGAACAAGGACAAGGTGGGCGAATGGTTGGCCAGCTATGTCCAGCAGTCCTCCGCCACCAATCGCATCCAATGAGTCGCCAATCCAGCCATTGGCACCCTGTAAAATATCAATAATGTAAAAACTACCAATGGAATTGAAACATAGTCTTAGCTAACGAATGCAGCTATTGCATTTCAAATGTGAACGAAGAATTGTGAATGCGTATGATATTTTTGAAGAAAATACAAGATAGAAAAATGATTCTTAATTGTTTTTATTAAATTAAAGCAAGCTAAGCTTAATCTCTCCTCATATGTATGCAAGTGCTCAAAATACCAATATTTATAATTTGCCATCAGTTGTTTAGTTAGCAGCACATTTGTTAAACCAATATTGAAATAGCTTACGTTGTCGCAACTATTGCACGCTGCACATGCCTTTAGTTTCACTTGATAGTTGACAGTGAACTCCGTTAGCTTCTTGAAGTTAATTAACGAAGGCAATCGTCAGGAAAACTATGCTGAAGATATACTTTAATCTTACTATAATATTAGCTTTTTACACAGCATACAACATTTACATGCTAAATCGTTATAATTTTATCATGAGCCGTACAAGTACGTAGATATAAGCAAAATAATAAATATATTTTAATAAAGTTTAACCTATTTTAGCCCTAATAGCAGAATGGCCAAAGGATGCACTGGACTTGACAGCAAACATATCGCCCTTTGAGGACACTGCTTTAATTAAGCCCCAAGCTTTTTGTGGAGAGAAAACCTTTCTGCTAATCTTTGTGGAGTCAAGTGTTCGGAACTTCCTAGCCCGGCAAGCTATACGGGAGACCTGGGGGAACTCATCACGCTTCAACTATCCGGATTTCCAAAAGCTCCATGGCCACCTGAAGGGGACTTACTATCCTCCTCTCAAAAGTAGGCTTCAGCTCTATTCGGAATACCTGACCGGAAAGGATGAGAGCCTCCGTGCCTCTGTGAGGGTGCTCTTTATTATCGGGCGAAGCAGGACAAACGAATTCTTGAGGCAACTTCGTGAAGAAGCGGATCAGCACAACGACATCATTATGGAGGACTTCATCGATAGCTACCGAAATTTAACGCTGAAAACTGTGCTGGCGCTGAAACATTTAAGCAGCAGCTGCTACAACACCACCGCTTACGTGTTGAAGACAGATGACAATGCCTTCGTAAATATTCCCAATCTGTTGCACATTTTATTGGGTGGCTCCATGCCGACTCGAAATTCTTTCGGGAAGAAGGTATTCCGACTGACAACCACCAGCAATGTGCTGTTGGGAAAAAAGCTTAGTCGGGCCAAACCCATAGTGGATGTGAAAAACAAGTGGTACATGCCACACTACATGTATCCAAATAACACCTATCCAGCCTTCCTGGTCGGCAAAGGTTACCTAATGTCCATGGATGTGGTCAAACGCTTGTACGAAGCTGCCTGGTATACGAAGGTGGTTCACTTGGAAGATGTCTTTGTCACTGGTCTTTGTGCCGTGTATGCCGGGGTGGAGCGCATGCACAGCTCGCTCTTTCCAATGTTTAGGTCGAAGAGGTTATGTAATTATAAGAATAGTATAATTAGGGAAAGACCGAAGGGTTTAAGTTTCTTCAAAGTATTTAACTTTGTTACCAATTACAGTATAAAGTGTACGCAGTCTCATAAAGCTGAGACGAAGCCTTTATCTTAAGATATCAATCGTCACATAAATATATTTTTACCCTTGCAGGGTATTATAATTTCAGTCAGAAGTTTGCAACGCAGTAAAGGAGACGTTTCCGACCCTATAAAGTATATATATTCTTGATCAGCATCAACAGCCGAGTCGATCTAGCCATGTCCGTCCGTCCGTCTGTCTGTCTGTCCGTCTGTCTGTTTCTACGTCAACTAGTCCCTCATTTTTAAAGCTATCTGAATGAAACTTTGCATATAGTCTTCTATATACTCTCACTGCTATATATGTCGGAACGGGCCGGATCGGACGACTATATCATATAGCTGCCATACAAATGTTCGATACATTTTAGAAAATTTTTTATAACTTTGCTGTTTTTAAACATTTTTGCATAATTTTTAACTAGATATGGCCATTTTATATTATTTCAGAATTTTGGTAAAAATTTTATAAAAATCGGACGACTATATGATATAGCTGCCATAGGAACGATCGGGAAATTAATATAAATTATATTATAGCTTCGTTGCTTTTTTTATTATTCTAGAAATTTGGTATAAATTTCATAAAAATCGGACAGCTATATCTTATAGCTGCAAGATTTATCTATATATTTTTGCATATTTTAATTGTTATTGGAATAGTTATTACACCTTTGCAGGGTTCTATAATTTTAGGTCAGCATCAACAGGCGAGTCGATCTAGCGAGTCGATCTAGACATGTCCGGAACAACAAAACTATTTCCCATTTTTATTTATTTTTAAATTTAATTTCTTTAAATTTCTTTCTTTAGTTGTGATAGATTACAAATTCGACCCCTGATCAAATTCCATTTTTGTTTTTTTATTTAAAACAATAGAAAAGCATCTTGTAAATACCCGATATGACGCACTTTCTCAGTTATTATGCATAGGTATGTTTGCACGTCTGATGTGGGAATAAAGGCAGGTCAATATTGACGACTTTGGTGTCTACCATTTACATAACTATTTATTCAAGTTGCACCTTAGCAAACGCAAAAATGATTAGTGTGAAGAACAGGTTAGATATTACCATTGGGAAAGCATATAAATAGCCTCCATTTGGACTGCAGAATTAGTTCTGGTTCCAGCACAGCAAAGCACAAGCCAATAATATCATCATGCAGCTCACTACTTTCCTGATGACCCTCCTGGTGGTTGCCATGCTCATGCTCTTCAGCGCTCCTGCATCGGAGGCCACCTTCCTCCTTATCGCCTGCATGCTGCGGTCTCCGCTGTGCCCATGGGTCACCACAGCCACCACTTCAACCTGAGGTGTCATTGTCGACCTTGGTAGTTGGATCGGAATCATCGGAAATGTTTGAACTAAAATGGACTCTTGATCGGAATAGTATACAGAAATAAATTCTTTTGTTGCATTGAAAGTGTTTTATGTGTTTTTATTTGTAAGTTTATCAGGAAGCTGCATAGTTTATGGATGGGAGAATCCTCGACTCCAGGGTGAACCATACTTTATTAACAATCAAAGTTAAAGAAAAGTTTGAATATTTTATATAATTTTATCAAAGGCATAGATCAATATCTCTTTTTATTACTTGTTCCCTTTGAAAATAACATAGCTATAAAGTCAAACCTCTAATTCTTTCTTTTTTGAAGCTAGTCAAGAAGTATATTGAATAATTATACAAAACACTATGGCAAAGATATTCATAGCAGCCTCGTGCCCAAAATGACAACATCTATTTCTCATTCAAATTGAAACATATTTCAATTATATTTTATGTGTCTTTTTATTGTTTGCCAGGCGGTTCACGCGTTTGATTGGTTACGAATGTAACTAAATCCGATGATTGCCTTGTTGTTTCGACCTTGAACACAAACTCTGTCCGAATTTATGTGTTTATTATCCGACACGAGGGAGACATTGCGTTGCATACTTTCTGACGGGGGGACCAATGAATTGGCGGAAGCGGAAACGACTAACAGCGCGCTAGTGTTTGCTTAATTCCGTTTCTTGCTGATTTTATGGATGGATTTTATGCCCAAAAGTGTTCATGCTCTGCGGCCAGCAGAACAGCATTTGTTGACATTTTCGCAGCCAAGGTCTGACGTAAACAGGATATTTCCAGAAATTGTTTACGACTGGAATTGATGGCGTCAAGCAACCGATTAGAAGGCCGCTCGAAAGTCAATCAGAATCACTCAAATGGCCCGTATCCAATACGCAAAAATGATGACGCCATATGTAGCGGCCGGGACGGTGGTACGGTGGCCCATGGGAGTGCATAAATTTCGATTCGGCATCGCTGAGTTATCGCCATCATTCGCACAATAAATGACAATATTTGGCTGCAGCAATGGCAGTTCAAGTTGTGCCTCAATAATCCGATGCTGCCATGACAGCGATTTATCTTTATATGGCAAGTGTTTCGATTTGATTTCGCTCGTAAATCGCCGTCCTGCTGGCCCCCGGTTAGTTCTGTCATGCTTAAAGCTAAATATCAGTTAGTCAGAATCTTTAAGAACCATTTAGCAGCCACACGCCAAGGTCACACAATTGACTTGTCTGGCAAACTATTAATGCATTGTACGGGGCCCCATTGAGACGAGATAATGAACATCTCGGACGGATCCAGCAGACGGCCAACTTCTGGAGCTCTGGAACTGTAACAGCTGCAGGCGTTTAAATTGGCCATCCGACCGGAGTTGGCTGCCAATGCAACCCATAGCCATCTCCATCTCATTTGGCCTTTGTCTATGCCCCTGTGTGCCATAAAGTTGGCTCCTCCGCCGCACTCTTCCGCAAATGTGGGCACTTGAAGAAAATGCGGGGAAAATATTAAGATAGCGAAAAAATAAATTATATCACATATAATATAAAATTCTAAGTAGAAACATAAAAAAAAGTATAATAAATATATTTTAAATATTTTATTTTAAAATAATTAAATTTAATTTTAAAAAATATTACTTCAATACATAAATGCTTTCATGATCTCATATTTTTATGATTTAAAAACTTTGGGTAATTATAAATTCTTATTAGCAAAGCCTAAAGTAACTAAAATCCAAAAAGGAACAGGAATAATTTAGAAATATTAAGATTTTTCGCTGTGTATTTTGTTTATAAGTATTTAATAATATTTTTGTTATCACAAACTAGAAACTAACATTTCTCCAATTTGTTCAAGTGTATAAACTGTTGGCCTAGGGCCAGGGCAAAACTTATTTCGCCTTCTTTACCAGCAAAGGGGCTAGAGCAACTCGTTTGTAATCAAAATAAAAGCAGCTTTAAATTAAATGCTTTCGCATTTTATATTCCTAAGAATTTATATCTTCAGTTTGGTTAAAGGCTCAGACACAAACTTAACTCTAGTTTTATTAAAGGCAATTAAACAAATTTAAAGTATTTTTGTCCATTTATGGTTCACAGACAATCTGTAAAAATGCCTGCTCTTGATTGCCATTCATATGGACTTACTGGCTGCTCGTTCGATAAAAAATAATTGCCGAGAACATCATAAAATCCTAGTGTCAGTAGCCCCCGAAAAATCTCACGTTAGGGTGTTTGCTATCACACACATCTGAAATGGCAGTCATATGGCATATAAAGTCCCAATTTGCTGCAGGGACACTTTTACGACCACAAAACCTGTTGAAGCGTATTGTAATGGCTTAAGAATGAAAGAAATTAATTGGCGACCTGACGAAATTACTTCATTAGCTGCTAATTGAATTGGCTCTCTCCGGGACATATCGGTCGGCAGGTTGGGCTCTCGACATGATTAATATTGCACTTTGGCAATGACCAGACAAAAAACACAGCCCGGTTGGATGGATGGACTCGCAGACCTTGGGACCGAATAAAAGACAAACTAAGGGACCGCAAAGGCGGGTGTTGTCTACCCTCGTTTATGCTATATGAATAGAGTCCTCTTTTCCGGTCCGGCTCCTCCGCCTCCGCCATTAATCTCAATTTCAGCGGCAAACATTCAATCAACCCAAAGGCGGGCTAAAGGCGGCTCTCGTAATTAAAGGCACATTAAGCGCTCGTTAAACTTAAAGTGGCACTTAAAGATCCAGTTGAAGAGGATTTCCCAGCCATTTCCATGGCTCCTGCACAGTTACGGACCCCGTGTTACACTTAATGGTCTATGCAAATCGAGAACTATTGGCAATATTATGTGAATTTAAAGCGGATAAATCGATTTAATGGAGCATATAGAAAAGTTTAAGGCCCACCAGTGGAAGCCATTCAAATAAGAAGAACATTCGACCACTTGAACGACATAAATTGGGGTCAGTTGGAATAAAATAAAATGTGTTGTTGCATAGCTTTAACAGGAATTAAAGGAAATACATTTTTAAATACAAAATATTTCTTATATATACATTTTCCAGGAAATATTTGTAAAATGGAAAAGAAATTCTTCAAGTAAATAAAGGCAAATATCGCTTAAATAAAAAACTTTGATCTGGTAAAAGCAAAAATAGAATATTCAAAATGTTGATTTCATTGTTTAGCTATTCGAATTTTTCCTTATTTACTCATCGTACTCAATGGGTTATTTCGGAATTTATTTAATAGTCTGTCTGTGAATGGCACTACGCAAGCAAAAATATTTCAGTTGAAAAACAATTAGGCGATTGAGCCCAGTGATGCAGAGAAAAATGTGTAAATAAACGAACCGCCTTGAAATAAAAGCAAATCAAATATACATACCATAAATCCCATTTCAGGCAGAAAAGCTTTGATATATAAATACTTGTTGGCCAAAATCATTTGACCATCGCTGGCTTTGGCTGCACGCAGATTAAGGCTGTGAGCGTCGTCCTGATGCCACTACTCGTATCTGTGGAAGGCTTTTGCGGGAAAGTGCATAAAATTTATTTTGGCTTGTCGCTGGCCGTAAAATTGTTGGTAAAGAAGTGCCATAAAGAGTATTTAATGGCGCGACTGTCTGTAATTAAAATCCCACACGCGCTGTTGCTCTCAGTCTCCTTCGGCATGGGCATGCATGGCGTATACGTGATGTGAGTGAACTCTAAGCCAACTGTCCCTATGATGCGACTTTAAAATGCAATTCAAGGGCTTTAATTAAATTTTTAATATGTATTCTGTGTACAACTTTTGGTTTTCTTCTTTTTCGATTGTATGTACTCATTTTTTGCTAGTTTTCCTGCTATTTACATTGCAACATTGTCTGTGGCCGGAATAGTATGACACTTGATTTATGGCCATTTGTTTTTCGCTTACCAAACAGGCTCATAAATACACAAAAAATGACAAAACAAATGGTAGGAAAAAATAGCAAATATTCGTTTAAATGGAGCAAAATTTATACATTTATTTGATGCATTTCGTGGAGCTTATATAATGCAATTCCTAGTTAAAGCAATTGGCCAAAAGCAGAAACCAAAAGAGACACGGAGTTAACAGCCAATTTAACTGCCCACGCTGCGTATACTTAATTTGCCTGCGGTAAATAATGGCAAAGCTATTTTGTTCGGATTTTGCGATTTCGGAGCGTAAGCAATATCCGTTAGCAGTTTTCTGTTGCCTTGCATCGCACGTTGGTTTATGCCATGCGCCGAGCATTTGTCTTGGCCCGGCCTGAACGGCGGCCAACACCCCGATAAGCTGTTTTTATTGGCAAAGTTTGGATGGGACAAACTGGTGCTGGGTTGCTGCTTCGACACTTATTTGAATTTATATCCCAGCAAAGTGTTTGCCTGATTTCACTGCGTTTGTTGCATTTTAATTAGAAACTACGATTTGCACGGCTTGGCAAATGCAATTTTAACTTTAATTCCAACACTTGGAACCTAAAAGGCAAAATAAATAAATATTAACAAAAAGTAATATATAATATAATGCCTTTAGAAACACTTTATAATTAGGGAACCTTTTTTAATTAGGCTTGATTTTTTATTAATTTATTAATTGTTTTTATATTATTCATTTCTATATTTAGTAAACCATTTACCATATTTTTCCAAGTGCTTAAATTTCCCACAACTCCTAGATTCCCGGCCATAGACTACCCACAAAGTGACATCTTTTGGTCACGCCTGTCCGGGCTGTCTGACAATTGTGGTGGGCGCATTCATTCACGCAAAATTCATTAACATTTACAATCGCTTCATTTTTAATGAACTGACAAATCTGTGCGGCTTCCCCGACCTCTGGCCAGGCCATAAATAAATCCGCGCACACAGCAGCAAATTTCACCGTGGTCACATAAATCTCTCTTTTAAAAAATTACCCAGAAATTTCTTATGAGTATTTATATGCAAATTAAGATGTTTACAATATAGCCCCGATGGCCATACTTTGATCTGGTGCAAAAATGCGACGCGATGCCGGCAGACAATGAATCATAATTTTATTTTATTGACGAATGAGGTATTTGACTTTTGCCAC